ACGCTCTGCTTTCCACTCTGTGTTAGATATAATAAATATATTGAATATCGATAATTAACAAGTTCTTTTATTTCTTAGTCCATTTCCCAACAAGATGTGTTATGGTTTGTTGGTAAATGGCTCAGACCTGAAAAAATACCCGAGTGGAAAGGTTATATGCGGGGTCTCTATAACGGAGAGTCTCTGGATAGGAGTTCTGTAGTGCCACTGCCATTTATAAATGCATCCCCGAGTGATAACGACACCATTTACACAGCCCTTAAATATGCTGCAGAACACTGCTTCCGACACGAAATTAATACGTGTTATGCTACATTTGACCGACCCCTATATATCAAAGCTCGTGAAATTGTAGCATCTAGCCAAGATGTTCCTCACATAAAATCTGTTGTCGTAAGATTGGGTGGGTTTCACCTTTTAATGTCTTTCTTGGGATGGTGAAAGTGGTCGCGAAGAGGTGTTGTGTACTGTATTTGCAGCATATAGCATAATATTCATAAAATGCTTACTGTAAATCAAATCTAAATATGCTTTATTGTCATAAAATCAAGTTTTGTTGACAAAGCTAATAGAAAAAAATTTGAAAAAAAAGTATTACATAATAAGTATAAGTGCAATAATAAAGGACAAAATAGATTCAAACATTACAGGTCCTAAGGTCCACATACAAAATATAAAATATAAAACAAGCAAACACAACTAAGTCTAAGTCTAACACGAATATTGGTAAATTTCAAAAAAAGATAAAATTTTAATTTTAGAAAGCAACAGATGAACAGGAGAGACCAAATCAATACTCAACAGAAAGCAGGAAATAAAACGGTTTAAAAACACAATAAAACTTACAATAATTAAAAATCATACAAATAGTCAATTTGAAATACTATACAAAAAATACAATAATATATTCCAAATAAGTTAAAAGTTAAAAAGTGTCACCATAGTATTCTCCCAACTCATAATATGCCCTCTCCACCAAAAGTCTTTTAACGGAGTTCTTAAATTGCCCGAGGGTAGGATAAAGCTTTATATATTCAGGTAGGTGGTTATAGATCTTACGACTCTCATAAATAATTGAATTTTTAACTAAGGTAGAGGAAGGAATTGGCACGCTTAAATAGTGTGACCGTCTAGTGCCATACAAATGACCGGGCATTGGTAAAACATCCTTACGCTTATAAATCATACAGACCGTTTCCAAAATAAACAGTGATGTAAGAGTTAGAATTTTTTTAGATTTGAATAAAGGCCTGTATTATCCATTCACAATCCGATGTCCACAGGTACAGGTAAAATTTATCACCTTTCAATGCTATTTAATAGGGAAAGGTGATCAATTTACCTGTACCTGTGGACTTCGGATTGTGAATAGGATATACATGCCTTCAGCAGAGCAACGAGGACATCTGCTTGTACAGTGTGTCTTAGCTGAAATTATTTTGAACAGTTTGGAGGTCTCAAATGAAGAGAAGGCTGAACTTACAGAGCTGCTGTTGAAGCTCAACGATAACCCGCTCGTCCAAGATATAATGAAGCAGAATAGCCAATTGTGCCTCCTTCAAACAAAAATTAAGGATGCACAGTCATCCTTTGTAGGCCGTGGGCCCACTGCTGCCTTGTGGGTGCAATACTTTCATATGGCATCCCTGAGGGAGCAGTTCATAGAAGCCGAACGTTCAGTGAGCTGGGAATTGCATCTGTGCTCAGTTCAGCAAATATTTATATTGCCCTTCTTCCATGCAAGTGGCCACTTGCAGTATGCGAAGTGCGCGCATTTATATCTGCAGGATATGCGTTCTCTTCCCAATAACCATCCACAGGTCTTTGACGATTTCACCAAATACTTCGCTGTGAGCAGATCAGATTCGCCCGGCTCTGGAAACTGCTGTGGGATCACGAAACTCGATATCCGTTTAAAGTTTGTCACCTTTGATCGAAAATCGAAAGGAGTTGTTCATGACATTCGACTGATCGATTTATTTCGATCGAAATGCCTCGATAGGTTCGGAGGTCTCGAATTAGGTTGAATTTTATCTATTTTGTCAATATAGGTATTGTGAAAATCTCATAAAAATAAAAATGTTACGTTATCCAGGCTATTTGGCAAAGACAAAGAAATAGGCGTCGCCAGAAACTTGAGCTTGTTCGGCGAAGACAAATTTCAAGGTACAAGCAGGAAACCTTTTCCAGAGGCAAGATTTGTGGATTATTTCGTCTTAATAAACGACAACTGCAGAACTCATACAATTGATACGACCACATGTACCAGAGAGAATACTTGCTAGGGTAGTTACTTTAGAAAACATGGTGCTATGTACTTTAAGATTTCATGCCACAGGCTCCTATCAGAGATGCACAGGGCCGTAGCCAGGGGGGGGGGGATTGGGGGGCAATGCCCTATCTTTTAGGTTTCTTTAGAAAATTTAAGAGTAGATAATGCCTGAAGTAGATAGGCCTGTCGAGTAAGCGAGGATGAATGTTTCCGAAAATGCCTAAATCTAATGAACAATGTTTGACGTTTGCACAGAAGAAGTTTTTTGTTTTCAAAAAGTGCGAATGGCCCAAGGCGGCTGGCGCGAGAATCCGCGCCATTTTGTTTATTTGCCAGAGATGTTATTTATTGCAAGGTTGTTTGATAGAGGCGAGAGAGGTAGGATGCCTGGTAACTTTATGAAGTCATCTGGGGTGCCTCAACATAATGCAAATCTCTATAAGGTATCCTAGATCAGATGTGTCATCAAGTTACCTTTTACCATACAACCTGAACCTTGATTTATTGAAAAATTTGTCTTCGGCGCCATTAGCCCCATTTTGTTTACCTATAAAAAAAATAAAGGGGGGGGGGGGTAAGTAGTGTATGCCCTATGTCAAATGTGTCATGCCCTACCTTAAATTTGACTCTAGCTACGGCCCTGGAGATGCATTGGTGTCTAGTGAAAGGTATAATTTTGAGCCCAAGTTTATTGTTGAACTTTGAAATAATTAAAATTGAAACTTTACAAAACACAAAACAAAGATTTAAATAATCAAAAAAGCGAGATCGCTTTCAATTCAAAGTGCGTAACTTTAGCAACAATCGAATAAACTCGATTTCCCACTAGATCGAGTTTCGTGAACAACTCACTCGACTCGATCATCGTTTGACTCGATATAATCGAATCGAACCTCGTGATCCGCCTGCTGGTCTCATATGATAATAGAGCTCACTTTAGTGCGAGGGATAACTGATTCTGTACTGGCGAGGTGGATTGGCGGAGCACCTACGTCAACCACAATTTGCTTCGCTGCCCTGCATTTCTCTACATGGGAGTAACATGTCGATTATCGAGTGTCTCGGCAGAAAAGAGATGATGGGGACAGAAGGAAGCTTGTGGTTTTCTCAGCACCCTCCCTTTCCAGAATCACAAGCATTAGTTTCCCTCACAACAGGTGTCGTTGCGGACCGCGATGTAAATTGCCACAAAGCACTACAAGAAGCCAAGATGAGAAAGATAGTAGGACAAAAGTTTGGCGAAATAAAACAGGCTCGAAAAGACAAAGTATTATCACTGGCCTGCATGAGCATTAGTACCTACAATAAAAATTGACAACGTTATAACTATTAACAAATTATTAACAAATTGAAATAGTTATTTACCTAACAAATGCGGAAAGTGATACTTTACCGCACGCTGGATACAGTCAGGAAACTAGTTTCAAACAATGAAATTCACTCCTTCTGGTTTGTGATTTCTGTGCGAAGAGACCTTAAATCAACTTATTGACACCTTTAATTTGACACATCATTCAGCGCAAAACTTGATAGGTGTCAAAGCTGAGACCGCGGGCCCTTGCCCCAATAAGCTGCCCTGCCAACCTTTTCCGGCAAGTTCTCACGAGGCAGGATCGACTTTTTAGATAGGGGACATCGAGACCTTCAATCTGACACCCTACTTAGGGCATAACTCGATGGGGGTAATGTTACGTTTTTTTCAATTTGTTAATAATTTGTTAAAAGATATTTCCGGCAGCATTTGCTCTCAGGCAGGAATACAGGTTAATAGATGCACATAATACTTTATATTGATAATAGTGTCGACACATAACTCGATCGGGATAGGAAAAATGCGGTCGTCTCCCAGACTATAACTGTTTGTAGGTAGAAATCGCAAGCAATATACATTCGCAGTTTTTTAAGGTGCATTATATCATTTAATGATCTTTTGGTCAATGTTAGGGGAACAGTTAAAGTTAGGGGACTTTACGGTAATTAAAATTTGATTGTTTAGTTTGTAGACGCGAATGCAGCATATGAGGACGACTAGGAAGACTTTATGGACCCATTTTTGTAGAAAATTTTGTTAGCTTCAATTGTTATCAATTATAAAAATCGATAGGACTGATCGTTTTCGAGATTTAAGCGGAAGACTGGAAAATGGTACCTTTAACCCGCACCCCCTGTTCGAGCTCACCCACCACCCTCGAGGACTTTTGATTTACGTCTACCCAAGTGTAGAGGAAGCGTTTAAAAAAAGTCCAACTCTCTAGGAATTTTTTCCACGGATTTCCCTAATTTGACTGAGCTACTACGGCAGTAGCGTCAAAAAACTTCAGGCTATCGTGACGCCTCCCAAATTAGAAACGAACAACTGAATTCCACAATTACGCTGAAAGGCTGGACTCTGGTAAAAAACAGAAAGAAGCATGGCATATTGTAAGCTAATTGCGTGGTAAAAGGCTTCAAAAAAGTATAATGCCAATTCGAACTTCGACGGCAACACAATAAATGGTCCCACCGAACCGAGCATCGAACTTCCTATAGAATATTTCTTTTGTGGAAACTTTTCGCTCCACATCTGTTACTGCTGAGGTGATACTCTGACAGTTAAAAAAAAATGAAAAATATACTCGCTCGGATCACATTTCCGACTCTTTCAGTATTGGCAAAGTGCATAAGTCAGTCCTGTGTTCCGAAAACTTCTTTGATAGCAAATTTTCTAAAAATATAAAAGATTGTTTACCTGGCTTGCATTCCTCTAAAATATCCAGCAGGTCCTCTTAGTTGATAAATCAATTTCATTGCTTGAACTAATCCCTGGGCCTTGAGGTTCTGTTGTGTATTTAGTAAAGTTTTACAAACGTCTAATGGTGTAGTTACTGCTGAGGCTACAGCGCCGGCTAGGGCGCCACTGACCATGTGCGCTGCAGGACTGTAAACTCTATCCTTATTTGTTACAGTTTGGGCAAATTCGTAAATCATAAAGTGTATACTCTGAAATGGTATGTTCATTGTTAATTGTGTTGTATATGATCTGTAAAATGCTTTAGGGCCTTCCGATCTGTAGACGTCCGTTAAACAAGCTAGTATTGATTTGTATGGAGAGTTGACCATTTGCATTCTCTGTTTGACAACTGAAAAGAGAAATTAGTCTATAATAAAAGAAAAATAAATTTTAGGAAATAAGTATCATTAAAAACCTGACAAATTATAATGATTGTATGTACATTTTAGACATGATTATAAAAATATACTTTGATTTTAAGCTAGAGATATGAGTTTACTCAGAGGTCAAAGTAGAAATAGCAAAATTGTTATGTTTTTGTGACTATTAGGTACCTACATTGTAAACAACTCATGTGTTGACGTTTGTAAGTAATTATCCTTTTCATAATTACATCCCAAGGACCCAAGGTTGACTTGTTATTGGTCAATTTACTGCTGTGAATTTGGAATATGTTAGACTTTGATACAAGAAGTATGTATTAAGAACTGCTAACCCTCTGTATTAATTTTCCAGTCTTGGAAGTTGGTGAGAAACACTATACTTCCCTTTGCCAATGATTCGAAGATTCATTTATCCCTCTTTAGGAACCCGCACTTGTTCTTTTTGTTTAACACACCTTTTTTTGGTAAATAAAAAAGCTGGTCGTTGAACAAAAATTGGAAATAAAAAACAAATACCGGCTTATTTACGTACATATTATGTAAGTTAACAATTGAGACTATAATGTATTCAATTGTTATTGCATAAAGATGTGATCCTCACACAAAGGTCAAAGTAAATTGTATCAACCAGGTTTTGAAGGAGAAAAAAAAAACAATGAAATCACCAAATTAATATCAACAGCAATAATCGTTATTGAATGACTAGGAGCTACTTTCTCTTGTCATCCGTTTTAAAACACATCAAGACTTAATGTATAAATAAGGTTTTTCTTTTTTAAAAACATTGAAATATTACTCTCGAACGTCACCGCCATCAATAGGAATTATTATTATTATTGTAGTATATAGAACGAAATTGTACACCGTCCAACACAGCTGTTCGCCAAACTAAAGGGAATAAACCAGAGGATGTCATCAGTGCGATAATATTATTGTTAAGTTCCAAGAATAGCTATAAAACAGCCGAGACGTTGGCAAAAGAAAATATAGTTTCTGTATATAGCTATAGCTGTCAACTTTCATGAATCGAAAACAGAATAATATATGAAATACCGAGAGTCTTTCTTGAATAAATAAAATAGCTATTTATTTTTTAGTGAGTTATTACTACATTTTTCTAAGTAACAAAACAAGTAAGTAAAATGGGTATAGTTTGCAGCCCTTTAAGTATTCAATTTTAAAAAAGCTACAAACAGGGTTGGAAAAAACCCGAGTTTTTTTGAGTTTTTATGGGTTTTTTGGGTTTTTTTGGGTTTTTTCGGGCTTACCACTCTTACCAGGGATTTGCGTTTTTTTCTTCAAATTTGATTTTTAGTTTCTGCTCAAGCAAAAGTATTACAATAGTATATTACAATCCGAGACGGAAAATACTTCATTGCTGGTCGAGAGGTTATTATAGTTTATCGAGACGCGAAGCGTCGAGATAAACTCAACCTCGAGACAGAAATGAAGTTTTCCGTCGAGGTTTGTATACTTTTTTATTTTCAACCCTTAATTTTCTGATGCAAAAACTAAAGATTCTGTTATACGAAATTTTCATATAGTGTAAAACTGGCCTTAGAAAAAAATATTTCACTTTTTTTGTCAATGTCATCAATTTTGACGATCTCAAAGGCCCTGTAAAGGCCAAAACAAAAGACGAAACCACAGGAAACCGCAAAATCAACAACCATAGATAAGATCAACAACGCCTTAACGACGGTAGTTTTCGCTCAGTATTTTTGCGGAAATAATAGATTTTCACTAGATTTCTCCCCGTTCTCCCCAAAGAAATGATTTCGGAAAGTGAAGATGAAGCGATGGATTGTACCCCACCTGAATTAAAAGAAGCAGCAGACAGGATTGGAGAGAGTTTGCTTCCAGCAAAAAGCAAATTTCGGTACGAAAAGGCTTTTCAAATATTCGAAGCATGGTGTAGCCAGAAAGGAACGAGAAATACTGCCTCGGAGACCGTTTTGTTGGCGTATTTTGGCGAATTATCTAAGGAAAAGAAGCCTTCGACTTTATGGTCGACTTACAGTATGTTGAAAACCATGATTAAATTGAAAGAGAAAGTTGATATCTCCAATTACGCAAAACTTATAGCTTTTTTGAAGCGGCAAAATCTGGGCTTTCAGCCGAAAAAGTCGAGCGTTTTTTCCAGAGAAAACATTAACGAGTTCCTCACGAAGGCAGCTGAAGAATTCATTAGCATCAAGGTAGGTTTTCAAAAAATATACAAAGAAGATAAAAATGCGAAAATCAAAATGATTTTCTGTATGCTATAGCTAGGTTACCCATTTTATTTTTATCTGGTTTCAGGTAGCGCTAATTGTTGGTGTGTCGGGTGCATGTAGGAGCGATGAACTAGTCAAGATGAAAATGGAGCACGTCAACGTTTTGGAAGGAAAGATCGCTATAGAAATTCCACACACAAAAACTTACACAAGTCGATCGTTTATCATAAGCGATCCAGATTGGGTTGCTATTTTCCACAAATACCTCACTTTGCGGAAAAATTTGAAAAATGACAGGTTATTTGTTCAATGGCGAAATGGGAAATTACATAACCAAGCAATTGGCTATCATTCAATCTCAAAATTTCCACATAAAATAGCTGCTTTTTTGAAGCTTCCAAAAATTGAAACTTTTACAGGGCATGCTTTTCGTCGTACTTCCGCAACCTTATTGGTTGACAACGGGGCCGATCTATTGCAACTCAAAAGACTGGGAGGGTGGAAATCGAGCACGGTTGCTGAAGGCTACATAGAGGCATCTTTGGAGAACAAAAGTAAGACTGCTCTGATGCTATCCTCTACTTCCAAAGGTATTCAGTTGTCCAGTGCATCCACAAGTACATCACATGCGGAAACTCATCCGCAAGCGCAAGAGATAATAGTTCCAAACGAAACACAATTCCAACAGGATGGTCTCAAGATTTCCATTATAAACAACAATGCTAATTTAACAATTAATGTAAATAAGTGAATAGATTTAATTAGTTCCATGTAATACATGTGGTTTTATTATTATATGTGAGAGCTGTATGAAAATTATCAATTTGGAACGAGCAGGGAAATGGGGACGGAAAAGCATTTGCCGTCCCGGACGGAAAATGCTTTTCCGTCCTAGGCAGGCATATGCATTACCGTCCCGATAAATGTCAAAGTCCAGAAATGTGACACTTTCAAGATTTTGAAAAACCTGCAATGTCAACATTACATATGTGGTTGAAAATAATAGTATATTACAATCCGAGACGGGAAATCCTTCATTACTGGTCGAGAGGTTTTATAGTTTATCGAGACGCGTAGCGTCGAGATAAACTGTACCTCGAGACAGCAATGAAGTTTCCCGTCGAGGGTTGTATACTATTTTATTTTTAACCATAATTTCTTGAAAAAAAAAAATCGGGGCAACCAAATGAGGTCGGCAAATGAAGAGGAAAATGAGAACGGGAAATATTTCCCTGCTCCATTTTCCGTCCGTGGACGGGAAATGAGGACGGAAAAAATTTCCCGTCCTCACTTCCCGTCCTGGGACAGGTAATGGAGCAGGAAAATGAAAAGACAGAAATGTGACATTTTCAAATTTTTGAAAAGTCAGTAATGACAACATTTCATATATGGTTAAAAATAAAAATTATTACTTGTTACAAAAATAAAATATCCTTACAAAATAAAACAAGCCATTTGATATAAATAATAGGTCTGTTTCCACAGAAATCACAAACCAGTCAGAGCGTTTTTGATTGGTGCAAATGGCCAACAACCAGTTTTCTGACTATTATCAACGAATGAAATTCTCTCTGACTGGTTTGTGATTTCTGTGGAAACAGAAAAAAACCCAAAAAAACCCCACTGGGTTTTATAACCTGGGGAAATTCTATGCCAACCCTGGCTACAAATCCCTCGTTATGTTAGATCAACAACTCCTACTTCAAATTAACAAAATAAATATATACACAGAAGCCACATAAAATCACGTGTATCATTATTCTATTGTTCATTTTTAAATCCATATTTGACTCGATAAACTTTAACCTCTGTGTAGTGTTAGTAATTAATACATTAATTTTAACCCGCTTTGCGAAACATATTACATAAAAGAAAAAATATTTTCTATCAATCTATCGTTATTGATTGGTGTCCCACGAGGTTTTACCTAAGTGATACTTCGGAACGCATCATCGTATTTTCCATTGTGTAGGTAGTTTATTATCATTTTCTTCAACAAAACCTCAACAAATATGGCTTGACGATTTTGTAATTCAATTTTTTAACGAAAAATGCCATAATATACCATTAGTTACATTTAAGATTCTAAAGTTGCCGTCACTTGACCCAACCTGAAGCGGAAGTGGTGAAATTGGATGACAACAAAAAGTTACCAGAACCTCAAAAATTCAATTATATTGGATGACGCGTTCCGTGGGTCACCCTGTATAGTGATCATTTGGTTAATGATGAGGGTAAATGAGGACAAGTTTACTTTGTTCAGTATTTGTGCGAAAACCAATGCTGAACCGAAGAAATTACCCTGCAAACTACACTATACAGCCTTGCACCATGAAAGTATATGAGACTACTACACAACAAAAAAATCTGCTAAACAATACCTACATTACAACAAAATTTTAAACATGGAAAACAGAAGAGAATGTCACATGTCCTCCTTTATTTTTAAGATAACTAAAACTGGGAAACCGGAGTATCTACGAAACCAGAAACGATAAACTACAGGGTGTCCCAGCCGAAAGTGAACAATTTTAAATGGTTATAACTTTTGAACCAGGTGTGCTAGCTACCTGCGGTTTGCGCCATTCGATTTCTCTGGGTCTAAAGTTTTTTCTAGTAGGTTGCAAATTTTTTTGAAACTTATACAGGGCAAGAAAAAAAAATCCGTTTTTCAACATTGAAATTCTCCACTATTTTCAATGGAACACCCTGTATATCACAACGTCAAAAAAAAGAATAATGTTCAAGGT